AGTTCCATCTAAATAGGAGATATTATATTTTAAAATATGGCCGGGAGGGGAGAGAAACACATGATAGCAGTAGGTGAATCATCTTTAGTTCTTGCCACGAGTACTGGACAGACTTACTGCCCTTTTGGTTACACTGTAAGGAAGAATTTGAAATAGTTATTTGAAATAGTTTTGAGAGGAATTGCATCTGCACAGAAGTCCTAGCCATTTATGAAAGCTGTCTTTTGGGAAGAATTCATTATTTTCTGCTCTTTGGGGGAAAGCCCATGATAGGCCACCGTGTCCCCAAACTCAAGGACAGTTTCAAATGAAGCATCTGAATCCTGCAGCTTTCAGAGAAGTCGGACGAAGTGCTGGCTGCTCCTGGCGGCCAAGGTAGTGGTGCTCCGGCTCTATTTGCTGGGCATCTTCATGAGAATCAACTGATTTACAGTCATGAGGGGGGAAAGGTCATTTTGTGGGAGAGTCGATTTCCCATTCATCACCATCCTTGATTGCCTTCTTGGCGATTTCATTTTCTGACATCAAACTAGTCCTTTTGAAGAAAATCTGGCAAAATCTGGTTTCTGTGGGCTCTCAGAATTCTGAATGGGTAGTCCATGCACGTCTCCCAGGTCTGGCTCTCCCCGAGCCTGTGTGCAACGGTCGCTTATGACCCAGCTTATCTAAATCCAGCCTCAGCATCCGTCCCTTCCTCTCATCCCTGTATCTGTACCTTTGTGTCTCAGATGTGGCGACGAAAACTTTGCAGTCACGTCTGACCTCTCTATTCTTGCACAGGGTGGCAAATCAATGAAAATCTCCCAGGAAATTTTCTTGACAGATGCTTCTTGCATTCAAAATGTTACTTTCTTTAGTCTTTCTCTCCTTTAATATTTACCTGTTGGTTGATCTTTCCATTTTACCCCTTCTATTTTTACCCTGGCACTTCCTGTTCAAAACCCCCGAGTGCCTCCCTGCAGTCGGTAAGGGAAAGGTATACACCTTGGTTTGCATTCTGGCTCCACTGCACCGTCCCAGTTTAACCGCGGCAGCCCATACACAATCCTTTGTCACTCTCTGTGTTTGCTCATTCCCACCTGGCCCTCTTCTGCTGGGGCTCCCCCAGGACTCCCAGCCACTCCAGTTTGTTGCCAGCATTGGACAGACACAGTCCCAGCTCTGCTCGTGGGACGTTCCATCTCCATCCCCTTTAACGATCCATTATTATGGGGATTTGACTTTGGCTTTATAGCTCTTATTCTGAAATTTGGACAGTGGTTGCCATGACATACAAGATGAGATTTAAAAAAGAACAGTTATCGATCTTACGTCAATGGCAAAACATAGAAGGATACAATCCCCCAGTTTGGGCATCCCTTACAGACTCAGGGTGAGGGTTGGGTCCTGCTTTGTCTCCTGTGCAGCCGGGTAAGCCTCCAGGACCCCACCCACAGTCTGCAGGGCTGCCCTGCTCTGCAAGGGGCCCTCCTGGGGACACGCCCTGGCCATGTGTTCCGAGGGGACCACATCGTGCTGCATCAGATGGTGTGTTTAGCCGTGGGGTGGCTAGTCTGTGCTTCTGTTATGTCACCGGTCTCAGGTCCAATGGCACGATTGCCGCAAACACACTGGCATTCACAGGGAAGTCTGAGGTGCCCGAAGTGGCTTCTGCAGGGTGCGTGGCTCATGACACAGCCTGTCGCAGTGAAGGGTCTCCTCAGAGGGTCTCCACCGAGGGTCTCCCCCCTCTGCCGCTCAGCCACTTGGCTGTTCACGCCTCTGTGTAAAGGACAGTCAGTGCCATCCCAAGGAGGGGATGTCTGTCCCCTCGGCCCTGGGGACTTTCTTGTCCCCCTGCAGCACTAGGGGTGGGCAGCCCTTCCCTCAGGGACTGGCCATTTGCTCCTGGTGAGAAGGTATCACAGCTGTGCCCGGTGTACTGACATTGGACCCCGAGCTAACATGGTAAAACGTTTGGTTTTATTCATGACACGTGGACACTCCGATTCCCTGATGAAGCTGAGTTGTAGGGTACAATGTCCCAGAATTTTGCATTTTGTGGGAATTGACATAGGGAGGCTAATTTTTATTCTTGCCAAATGAGGGCATTAATAAAAATCTACCATCTCTTATACTGTCATAAGAGGAAAAACAAAAGCCTAAGATTGCTGCATAAAAAGATGTTATTAAATGGAATAGATTTAGCTTTGTGATTCTGATTTTTCTCAGTTCACTGAGGCTGGGTGAAAAGTGGGCCAGGAACTGGTCCACCGGTCCTGAGTTTGGGAACCACGATTCTGCGAACCATGTTCATCTAACTGAAGTATGCTTGAAGGTCCGCTTTCAGTTCAGCAGCTAGTGTACCCCATCCCCTCCTCTTCCCCCCACCACACACATCTTTACAACACGTTTGAACAACTATCCATATTTGCTGTCTTAGATTGTCCTCTAATGGTTTCGTGTGTAGACATCTTGTCTCTTCCAGCCAGACTGTCTAGGTAAATAAAAGGCACTGACTAGCTAATTATTTGAATTTATTTCTATGATACATGCTGGTTTGCTATTTAGAGGACTGCAGGCTATTCACACGTGTGTGTGTGTGTGTGTGTGTGTGTGTGTGTGTGTGTGTGGTGAAAGTCAGCTGGAGTCCTCTATTTACATAGGTATATAAAAGAAGGGTGCACATTTCTGAAGAAATAAGTGAGCTTTGTGATAAGAAAATAAGCCTGTGGAGTTTTCTCCATCTTTCTCTCCGTTTCCTGCAAGGCTGGAAGGATGAACCCCTTATTGTGTGGACCTGGCCCTGCATTTGAGCATCTGTAAAGTCTCCTCATTTTTGATGATTCAGTGATAATGCAGGGTGTAGCAGGTAGTTGAGATTCTCCCACAAAATATCAGAATTGTTTTTCATTTTAATACGCCTTTTTATTTTAAAAAATCATAAAATGTTTCTTAGAGTGACAGCTGAGCCTCAATATTTATGACTTTCTGATTGCTCTAGCAGTTTAGAAAAAAAAAGGAGTCTCAAGTAAAATTTAAGTGGAAAAGATTAAAATTCAGAATTATGGACTTTTTTTCATTTGAATAAAATCCTCACAAAATTGCTGGAAATTTTATGTGCCAGCCCGTTTCCCTATAGTTGACAGTCTTTAAAGAAGGACTTAATTTCTTTCTTCGAAGTATATAAACAGAGTTATTTTTTGAAGGTCCGCACAACTCCCTCCCACCCCCCAGCTTCTAGACGCTACTTTTGGCTGCAAACCAAGCACACACACCACTCATCTTGCAAATAAAAGATTCAGTTTGGGACACAAGCGTGGAGCTTATGAGTGAGTGAAATGGACAAACGACGGAACATCATTATCTTTGGGATGTTTTAAACTGCTACTACTTATGATAGCCACACAGCTGATTTATGGTATGTGCTCAAAACTGTTCAGTCATTTCCCTTTTTGGGAGTTCATGAGTTTTCAGATTCATATGTATTAAGTCTTATGCCTAAATTAAATCATATTTCCTTCCCCCCAATGCAGCTCTTTAATCACTTTGTGATTTTGTAATTGGTTTCTTTTCTTCAAATAATATGTTTCTCTAACAACTTAATGGAGTATGTTATTAACATCTGATTAATCTTTTGCGGCCGGAGGAATAATGTGACTACCTCCCTTCAAGGTGTATGTAATGTAACTTCACTACTATTAACTCAAACTGCTGTAAGAGAGATTATGGTGTGCCTAAGAAAACAAAGAAAACGGACATCATTGACAAATAATCTCAGAAAGGGAATAAGGCAGAATCCTCCTTCCCCAAAAAGGACTCACTATAAATGAGAATTTTATTATACTTCATTAAAATGTTTACGTTTTAGTAAAAGACCTTAGACCTGCAGCATTTTCTTGTCTTAGTTTTTCCTGACTCATTAATTCTTTCAACACATCTTGGTGAGTGACACCGACCCTTGTTCGACGTGCCAGGAGAATAGTAGCAAATACTTCCGAGAGAAACTCTGCCTTTGTGGGATTGATGCTCTCATGAATCCTGATGAACTATATTTTTTTAAAAGCTTTTGCTGTGTGAGCTTCCTGAGCTTTATATAAAAGACTTGATTATATATTGCGGCCTTATTAGTAAAAGAACAAACATGAATCATTTGGGATTAGACTCTTAGGGGAACATGGTGCAGAGGGTGGTGGTGAAACACCCTTCTTCTAGACCTGGGGTCTTAGCAGTAGCAGGTACAGATTGTGGTGCCTGAAATTGACCGAGCGACGAAAAAAGGGACGCAGAAAACGGGAATTGTCAGGATTGTTTCCAGAAAGTATCATGACCACGTTCTCCCAAACATTGTAAAAGGCAGAAGAGAAAAGCATCCTTGTGTCTGGTCTAAGATAAAGGTTTTACTCAAAACAATATCTTAAAAAAAAAAATCTTGGACTTGACCAGTTTGGGAATTTTGAGGGTGGGGTAAAATTTTAGGCAGGGCTGGCCCTGATTAAGAATGAGAGGAAGGCGGAGTTTGGGAGACACCTCTCCCCGTCCCGTTTACCCTGTTCTCCATCTGACTTATCCTGTTACACTCCCTGTGAGGGGTCCATTCTGAAGACCTGGGATTAAACCCCAACTTTGCTATTTGTCACTCGTGTACGTGAAAGAGCCACCTTGCTAAGCCTGTTTTCTCATCTACAAAATAAAGATAAGAATATTAAGCTCCGAAAGTATAGATGAAGACTAAATATAATATGCAGATATAGTAATATATAAATATAATTTATGTGCAAGTGCTTTGATGCAATTAATAACAAGACTTAGCATCATAACTAATAATTCCTTAAGGAATGGAAATAAAACTCTGAGAAACACAGGAACCTCTGCATTAAAAGCCTGCCAAATGGAATGGCCAAGCTGTGGATCTGTATGTTGATCAGACGGTGCCTTGGATTAAACCATGTGTGAGGCTTCACATTTTGCACACGGAAAACCATATCAAACCCCAGTTATTCTGATCCCTGGTTACTCACTCTTGCCAGACTGGTCCCAGATGGAACTTTATAAGGGACGTACTTCCTGTAGATATGACCAACTCTAGAACATGGAACGTCAAACATTTCTCCTCCACACATCCAAACCTAAAGAGGGGAAATTAAAAGTATAATAAAAGAGAACAGTACCTTTCATACCAAAAAACCCAAATTATTAGTAAGATTCATACAAAATCTTAAAATCTCTTAAAGTCTCTGAATCAATAATTTCTGTTTATTATCAATGGCTAACCAAGGGGAAAAAAAACCACACTTAAAAAAACCTAGATTCATAGGAGTATAGAACCAAAATATTAGTTCAGTAAATCTAATTTCCATAGATAGCATGTTGACATATTTTTTATTCTCGTAGAATTTTAGCACAACTATTATAATAAACTGGCATTTAATGCTTAGACATCTTATTTATATAGATATTTGTTTTGACAGTCTTGTGAAATCATTAAAAGAAATAACATTGGAATTTGTGTCAGTTAAAAAATTTAAAGTATAAAAATGGAATTTCTAAAATAGGTGAATGAATTAAGCCACTTAGCTATATCCATAATTTATCTAGATACTGAAACTTTCAGTAGAGCTCACCTTAAGAGTCAGCGTTGCATTCTAATTTCTCCCCACTCCCAATCTTTTCTTAGGTGCAGAAAATAATTGGTTAGTGATGTGTACTCAAGAGATGTTAAACTCAGGGTATCTGTTAAGATGCTGTACTTATATGTAGTAACAAAAATTAATTGCTTATATTTTACCATGACTGCCCACTCAAACCATTAATCCTGGTTTTATACAACAGGCTGCTTACTGTAAACGGGCTAATTATCAAAACACAAATGCAGGCTTCATATATGCTAGATTTTTAGCTATTTTCATTGCAAGAAAATGATTTAAAAAAAGAGTTAGATACTGTAATGGTTAGTTTTATGTGTCAAAGGCTGCACCAGAGTGTCCAGATAGTTGGTCAAACATTACTCTGGCTGTTTCCATGAGGATGTTTTTTGGATGAGATTAACATTTAAATTGGTGGATTTTGAGTAAAGCAGTTTCTCTCCATGATGTTGGGTGGACTTATCCAATCAGTTAAAGGCCCTTGGAGAACAAAGACTGACCTGCCTCAAGCAACAAGGAATTCTGCCAGCAGACTGCCTGCCTTTGAACTTGAAAGGCAACTCTTCCCTGCATCTTCAGCCTGCTGGTCTACCTTGCAGATTTTTGGATTTACCAAGCCTCCTCAATCCCATGAGCCAATTCCCTTAAATAAATCTCCCTCCATATATGTACCCTGTTGGTTCTGTTTCTCTGGAGAACCCTGACAGATGCAGATACACAGCTTCTTTTAAAGTGAAATATTGGAAGAGAGAAAGAGAAATGTTTATGTCTTAACTTACATTTGCTTCCATCTTCTTTCACTAAGAGGAATGGCACCCTAAGTAAGACTGGTGAACAGTGATGAATGGAATCCCAAGGGGATGGCAAATGGATTATGAAAACAATACTCAGTTGCTCTAACTCCTGAGAGCTCAGGACTACTCATGGTATCAATTTCAACTTGGCTTTAGATCAAGTCATCAAAACTATGCACAGATCATGTAAAGCTGGGAGGGGCAGAGAACATTCTAAACTATAGTACCGACATCTGGAAAGATCCCGAGAGGCTGGAGCTATATAAGATTAAACATAAAAAGGGTAAATATAAGGACCTGTCCCCAGACCTGCAAAAATCAACTCTTCCAGAGCAGGAGAAGGTAGAAAAAGACTGAGTAGCACAAAACACATCACCAGCAAAATATGGAGAGTTTAGGGATTAAAGGTCTTGATCTATCTACCTGAAGTCATATGCTAATTTCTGAGAACATGCTTTATATTCCCTTGTAAAGAGAATTACCAACATGGGGAAGGGATGCAAACTGTGTCTTCGAAAAAAACAATTGGAAGAATGGAGGTTTGTAGTCTTGATGAGATAAAATTCAGAGAAGTGCTTTTCGAATACCTGAAGAACCTAACATTTGGTAGTGATGTTCGTAGAACCCCAAGGAGCTAGGACTAGGACTAGAGCTATAAAGAGACAGATTGCAACTCAGTGGAAGGAGGAAATTTGTAGTAGGCAGCTTGGTTAAAGATGAAATGGGCTTCCTGTATTGCTAGGTGTGTCGATGACATTTTGTAGACAAGAATGTAACTCTGGTGGACAGTTGATCTAGCTGATATTTTAGGTAATTCTAATAATAAGAGTTAGCATTTATGAATGCTTACTGTGCTCTTTTTCATTTAATGCCCACAACTCGATGACAGACTTTACTATTTCCCCAGTTATATAGGTGGGAACATGGCAGCCTACAGGCTAACTTGTCCAAAGCTGCAGAGTTGGCCACATCCAGAGCAGAGATATGCGTCCTAGTGGTCTAACTCCAGTGCCCACCTACTAAGTCAATAGTTTATCTACAGAGTCGGCGAACTTTGTTGTAAAGGGCCAGATAGTAAATACTTCAGGCTTTGTGGGTTATATGGTCTTGCAACTATGACACTTTGCTAAGAAGAGACGTGACTGTATTTCAGTAAAACTTTGTTGACATAGATAGGCAGTGGGTCATAGTTCGCTGGTCCCTGTTCTATAAGATACACAATCCTTTCAAACACTGAAATTCAGGGATTCTAAGATACTACACATGGGAGGTTGCATTTTCCCAACTTAGACACCACAATATCTCCCATTGCACATGCCCCTCTACCATGTGACCTTGGTACCCCCCACTGAGATGTGGGACGGTGTTCCCTGTCCTTGAATTTGGGTGTGCTTGTGGATTCTTAGACCTGTAGAGGACAGCAGAAGTGACTGAGGTCATGAAAGGCATAGCTTCTGCCTGTCCACTGGGGCACTCGTTTTCGCAAATTTGAGCTGCCATGTAGGAAATCTGACACCCTGCGGAGACCCCACTGTAGAAAGTTTGGGCCACATGAAAGGTCACGTGTAGGTGCTCGGGTCGACAGCCTCAGCTGTTTTCACCAACACCCAACATCAACTTCTGGGCATGTAGATGAAGATTCCTCTAAATGATTTCAGCCTCTAGCTGTGACCCCAGATACCATGCAGCAGAAATGAGCTCTCTCCTTCGTACCTTTTCTGAATTTGGGACCCATAGAATCCATGAATTTTATACAATGCTTGTTTTATGCTGTAGATTTTGGGGTGCTTCATCAGGCAGTAATAACTGGACTACATACTTCCAAACCCATGGTGGAGGTGAACTCTTAACACGTGATAAAAATTTACAGGTCACCCACAGATTTTATCTCATCCTATTGTGGGCGATACAGCGCAGGACATACAAATTTCCACGCTCACTTCTTCCTGGGCTCACTGCCAGGCTATAAATCCCCAGCTCCTTGGTATTCAGAAGGGGCTGTATGCTTGTTTCTTGCCAGTGGAATGTGGACAGAAGTGATGTGCATCACCTCTGGGCTCAAGTCAGTAAGCGGGGACTTCCTTTCTCCCCTTCATGATTCTCTTCTCCCTCAGAGCCTGATGAATTGCAGAAGATCCAGAGGAGGCCTCTGAGCCCCTAGAAGGTGGTGGAGTCACTAGGCAGATGGGGCCTGAGTGTCTGGAAACTGGGGTGGAGCAGAACACACAGCTTCCTTCTCTCCCAGGGCTGAAGTGTAGCAGCTGCATGACTGATGCTAAGTTACCAAGATTTGGGGATTATTACAGCAGTTGGTCCACTCTAAGAACCCTGTTTTGTTTGGTTCTATTTTCAGTCTCTTCTGACATTTTAAATCAAATACAGTGAATTTTTTAAGTACAATTTTAATTTTATCAAAAACTTTATTGAAAAATTGAATCAAACAGCCTGAATATTTGTGAGATTATTTCCTTTTATTAACTGTGCATTTTATTTTTATTTATAAATTTATTTATTTATTTTTGTCTGCTTTGGGTCTTCGTTGCTGTGCGTGGGGTTTCTCTAGTTGCGGCGCACGGGGGCTACTCTTGGTTGAGGTGCGCGGCCTTCTCATGGTGGTGGCTTCTCTTGTTGTGGAGCATGGACTCTAGGTGCACGGGCTTCAGTAGTTGTGGCTCGTGGGCTCAGTAGTTGTGGCACACGGGCTCAGTAATTGTGTCGCACGGGCTTAGTTTCTCTGCGACATGTGGGATCTTCCCAGACCAGGGCTCGAACCCATGTCCCCTGCATTGGCAGGCGGATTCCCAACCACTGCGCCACCAGGGAAGTCCCAGTTGTGCATTTTAAAGAGAGACAATTTGAAAGTAATTAGACAATAGATGCAGGGGTGGGAAACCGGAGGGCAGAGAATGTTCAGGAGTCCTGTGTGTAATCAAATGTCAGAGGTAGGCAAGTGTCAAGGCAGAGAAGCTTTCCTACCATTCGCAGCTGGGAGAGAGTGATTGGTTGGCCCAGGCATTTATTTTTCATGAAAAGGGGACCGCATTTCTCTCATCATTTGGTGAGGTGGCCAATCCCTCTTGCGGGACAAGGGGATCGTGACAAAGGACAGCCATAATAGAAAGTTAAATAAATCCTCGTTGCCTTCCTTTCCAAGGTAGGGCAAAAAAATAACCAAACAGACACACAAAAATGAAATTCTAATTCTCTTTGGAGGGTGACTGTAATACAGTTTTTAAAGATCTTTCTGTGGGTGTGTAACAAATTACCAGAACTTGGTGGCTTCAAACATCACACATTTATTTATGATCTCCCGTTTCTGTGGGTCAGAGGTCATGTGGGCTCCGTGGGGTTCCCTGCCTGGCGTCTCACAAGGCTGAAATCCAGGTGGTGGCTGGACAGAGCGCTTATCTGGAGCCTCCGGGGAAGAACCTGCCTTTAGGCTCATTTAGTTCCTGACAGCTGTAGGACCAGGGCCCGTTTCCTTGCTGGGGATGCCCAGGGCTGCTCCCAGACCCATTCTCAGTTCCTTTTTCCAGGAACTCTCCATCTTAGCCATGGCTAACCACCCTCACATAGAACGCTTCTCAGGCTTTAAATCTCCCTGACTTCTTGTGCTCCCTGCTGGGGAAAACTCCCTGCTTTACAGGGGCTCCTATGTTGTAAAGCAACTCTACTCCAATAAAAATTAAA